ATTTTTTTTTTGCATACTTTTGTGATGAGTACTTACGGCTTAGAGTTGTGCATAGTTGAAGATGCCCCAACAAGCACAGAAATCTAGCTCTTATTGCAAAAGGACAAAATTGGTTTACATTTAATCAAGACAGAACAAACATTCTATTCTTCAGACAAGTAATACAAGTGATGCTACAGAGTGACACTGGTGCTCCAGGGACCTCCGTGGAAGAGTTCCATTTAAATTGAAATCACGTAAGGAAAATGCATGCTAGATTGTCTTTAAATCCAATAAGAATAACTTCCACTGAAAGCTTTCATTTTTGTTTCAATATATTTATTTGTTTCCCAGTCAAATATTTCACCTCAAGTATTTGTTTCTATCAGGACATAAAATTGGGTACTTCTAAATTTTAGTTTACTAAATCTAAGTAACCGTCCCCCAAAACATGCGAAATCAAATTACACTCAGTGCATCAGGAAATTTTGGGGGAAATTTCCTATTAAAGTTTTTCCCAGAAAACACAGAGGCTGAATAAAAGATAGGGCCTAATTAGTCTTGGATGAATATGATAGACTATGCTTTTCCCCATTGTCATTGTGGCCCAACATTGTGTGTTGGAGATTGGGCAGCTAACCCTGCTAATGGAGGGATCAATATCAGGATTTTATTTATGTATTTGCAATGTACATCTGGTTCATATGACTTCATAGTTTACCAGCTCATGACAACAGGAGTCACACCAAGCCATGTGTAGTCATGTTCAAAATCCAGACCTGGAGCTTGTGTTCTCTAGCTCCAAGTCCCGATAGTAACTTCCTGGTGCTAGGAGCTCAAGGTACACAGCACCAGAAGCTATTGAGATGCTGATTGAGGGCAATCAGCGATGTTCCAAGTATTTACACTAGGCCTGAACAATCCAGAGGCTTCATAGTACTGGCTGATCACAAAAACTAACGCTGAACTGCAGGCTGTGGAAGGTCAGTAGTTCAGTGGTTCAAGACCCGGGTGCCGCAAGACAGGGTGAGCTCCTGTCTCTAGTTCCAGCTCCTGCCAACCTAGCAGTTCGAAAGCAAGAAATTGCAAGTAGATAAATAGGGACCACTTCGGTGGGAAGGTAACAGCGTTCCGTGCTCCTTGGTGTTTAGTCATGCCGGCCACATGACCACGGAAACGTCTTCGGACAGCGCTGGCTCTTCGGCTTTGAAACGGAGATGAGCACCGCAACCCTAGAGTCGGATTCGACTGGCTTTCGAGCAAGGGAACCTTTACCTTTACCTATGCTCACCAGGCTGTTTCAGCTTCAACCCCTGAGATGCCTCAATCAAGACCCAGAGATCCTGACAGAATAGTTCCTTCAGTGAGCATTGAACAGGCAACATCTCTAATCAGAGTTTAAATAAATGGGGAAGATAGTGTAACCGGAACACCATCCAAATTTATTGTTCTTTTAAAAACATTACATTTTCTATTTCTGAAATTAAAGCTCAAGCATAACCCAGAATTAGAGCCACTAGCAAGTTAAGCAATCAGTTATGTATCTTCATATTTAAAATCATCCCAAACACCTATGCACAAACCAGTTTTACAAAGTGTGATAGGTGTAAAGTCTCCCCAAGGCAGACATAAATCTCAGGAAAAAAGACTGATGACATGTTTTAGAAACATCCCAAGTACAGATTATGAAAAGTAATACATCATGGTATTGTCCCCATTGGCTTTTAACATGTATGAAATCCTCCTGAATTGCATTTACAAGCACCAGACTCCTAAAACAAGCTGAATACCTGATATGGATTTCTCCTAGCACTCGATGCTAGTAGTGAATAAAAGCTCCACCAGGAAAGAGATACAAATATTCTGATGTCAGCAGGATATATTACTTTTTTAAAAATGCAATACGGAAAAATCTAGCCCAATGCACATATGCAAACTCAGAAAAATGGGGAAAAGTTACATACTAAACAATTTAGGGCTTTAGTCATCTATAATGGACTGAAGATAACTGATCTGAACTAAATCAATTTAAACTACCTTAACTGAATTAATTCTTTATGGGGGTCCTTCGTTAGCAAGGGAAGGAATGAGGATTGCTTATTTGTAGCTCTGGGGCCATCAAGCAGCACAGAAATCTAGCAGCACAGAAAAATTTGCAAGCCACTTGCAAGCATCTCCAAACAAGAAAAGATGATATGCTGCCTATAGCTGCCTTTAAAATACTGTTATTTTCCTCTCTTTTAATTTCAACTTTTTCTTTTAAAAAATGTAATAGCTTGGCACCAGAGCTCCAGGTTAAACAAGCTGAATAACTGTTCAGTGAATCCTTCGTATTTATAGGAACTGCCCTCAATTCTGTTGAAACTTATAAATTGCATTTTTGGAAAAAGCCCTCCCTGAACCCTACCATGTTGGAAAAAATCCAGTCAGTCTCCAATCTTCCATTCTTGAATAAGGTGCTAAGGTAGGCAGCTGCTTCTCCACTCCAAGGGCTCTTGGAAGAGACTGGGTTTTTTATCCATTTCAATCTGGCTCTAGGTCAGGATTTGGAATAGAGACTGCTTTGGTCACCTTGGCTGATGATCTCTACCAAGAGCTAGCCAGGGAGAAGATGACCCTGCTAGTTCTGCTGGATCTCTCAGCAGCCTTTGATACCATCATCTGTGGTATCCTACTGAGCCACTTCTCAGCACCGGGACTAAAGGGCACTGTGTTATGGTGAGTCTGAGTCCTATCTGGGAGGCTAGTCCCAGAAGGTGGTGCTGGGGGATTCTTGCTCTGTCCCATGGCTGTTGGCCTGTGGGATGCTATTTAATAGCTACATGAAGCCACTGGGAGAGGTGATCAGGAAGTCTGGCTATGGTGTCATCAATATGTGTATGATACCAGGCCAGCTCTACCTTTATTTTCCACCCAATTCTGAGGAAGCTGCTAATGTTCTAAACCAGTGCTTAGAGTCAGTAGAGGGCTGGATGAGGGTGAACAAGCTAAAACTTAATCTTGACAAAACTGAAGTTGTCTGGATTCGTTAGAAAGGCAGACTAGGGATTTGAGATGTCCCCTGTCTTGGCTGGGGTTACACTTCCCTTGAAAAGCCAGGTTCGCAGCCTGAGAGTGCTGCTTGATACAATTGTCATTTTAGAAAACCAGGTGGCTGCTGTGGTTTAAAGTGCTTTCACACAGCTTTGGCTGAGGCACCATTTGTGTCCTTTTCTGGCTCAGTCTGATCTAACCACAGTGATCCACACCCTAGTTACATCTAGACTGGACTACTGCAATGTGCTCTACTTGGGGCTACCCTTGAAGAGTGTTTGGGGGCTGCAGCTAGTGCAGAATGCTGCAACTTGACTGCTGGTTGAGCCAGAATCATGTGACCCCAATATTACAGAAACGACACTGGCTTCCAATCCACCCCGAGCCCAATTCAAGGTGCTGGTTTTGACTTTTGAAGTCCTACGTGGCTTGGGACTGGGGTATCTGAAGGACCATTGCCTCCAATACGTTCCTTTCTGGAAACTAAGATCACAGGGAGAGGCCTTCTTGACTGTCCCATTGACCAAACTAGCTTGTTTGGTGGCCTTTTCAGTGGCAGCCCCTGGGTTACAGAACATTCTCCCCAGGAAGGTGTACCTGGCCCATCACTCTTGATCTTTAGAAAGCAGCTGAAGACAGTGTTATTCCTGAAGGCAGTTGATTAGTTCTTCTGCCTACTGGCAGTTTTTAAATTGTTTTTAACTACTGGCTTTTATGCATTTAATGTATTTTATTATTATTTACACTGTAAGCTCCCTTTAATTGCTATAAGGTAGAAAGGTGGCTAATGTTTTAAAGTAAATTTTGTGACTTCACAATAATAGTTATCTAACTTTATAAAGAATTAGCATACCTAGCAAATCTTACTGTTCTAAAAAAATAAGGTTTTAAAAATACTTAACCAGTATTTGAACAGTCAGCTGAGCATGCTCTTCATCTGGTCCTATGGGCCAATCCTACAGATCACACACACACATGCATACATGCACACAACCACTTCCCAATCCCCTCAGAGACCCTACAGAACAAAGAAGTTTAATGAATTTTAGAGGATGACTAATGAGGCAAAGACAAGATTGGAGGCTCTAGGTATCCTTGACTAAGAAGAAAGGATATCTGCAGCAAAAATAAATTCATTTGGAAAAGTTTCTAAGGCTGTGAATAATTGTCACTGAAATTGCTTCTCTGGTCTTGTCATTTTCTTTTACCTCATCTTGGGAGCAGTTAGGAGAAAGTGTTCTGACTATAACAAAAGCACTTAAAAATCAGAAGATCTCTTTCATAAATACCTGCAGCTTAATTTTGAAAACTGGCCTCTCTATGACTTCCAGGGAGACTATTTGAGAACTGCTTCATTTTCCATCCTTCAGCCAAGGATACAGACTTCCCAAGTGCTAACTACCAGTTACCAAAGGAAACAGCAGTCTGCACAAAAATGAATTTAAAAGGGCAAGCAGACAGACCACTGATTTGTCTGAGCTTTTGTTGCATTTTTGACAGCATTAAAAAGCAAAAAGTCTTCCAAGCAACAATTAAACGAAGACATTCTACAGATGTAATTTATCAGTAAACCAGGCTTTTGGTTGACAGGAAAGCATCATTATTGCAGCTTTTTTACACAGTCGACTTAAAGACAAGCTGATTGTTCACTTCTGACTGCCAGAGCTGGCTGGTTGTTCTATGCTATTAGCAGTGAGCAAGTACAAAGAGGCCATGACAACAGGAACTGCAACTTAAACGTCTGCTATAAAAAAGCCCCACTTGGTTCTTGTTGCAAAAAGAAACATTATTTAAGAAGCATTTCCACAGGATAAACTGAAATGGAAGAAAACTGTAACAGAAGGAAAAATACTTAAGGTACATTCTGTTTGTTAAATAATTGGTTATTTCTTTTTCTTTTGTAAACTTCTTGGGTTATTATTTGCAGCCTGAATGTTATCTACTGAGGATTATTAACATTAAGACACCACTAATGCAGGGAAACTTACCCTCCTTTCCTTTAAACCTTTCCTGATCATATCTGTTGTAGGCGGCTTGAGTGGGCTGCTTGTTTCGTAAAGTGGGGTCCTGAAATACACAACACACACAAAGATAAAATTTGTGCTGTATGTTTGTTTACACTTTGACATCTGATGGAAGCACCTGTCAGAAGAAAACACAAATCACAGAAAGTACTTACTATTTCTGAGGATAAATTCAAAATGTACTTCATTCCAACCTTGATTCGCTATATAAATTATACTACTCCCATCTTCTGAATAGATAAATTATAACCATCTGATAAGATATCACATTTTACTTAATTCTGAGTTACTGATATAAGAGCCAATTTCCTCTTACATGTGAAGCTGGGCAGGGGTGGGAGGAGAAGAGGAACCATGTGGGCTGGACAAATGATGTGGCTCCCTTGTGTACCAGTGTGTCTTCTCTCTTTAGATAAGCAATGCTGGTATGGGAAAGAACTACATATTCTACACGGGTTTTTTTCCCTCTTGGGGGATGAAGAGGAAGCATATTATTTTTTTAAAAAAAGTTAAAAAATAGTGCCAAGGGCAGAGTTAGCCTTACCACTGGTGCAGTATTTGGTGCCGGTCTTTGTTCAGGTGCACGGCCTTCTTCTCTAGCTTTGACTGACTGAAGAATTGCGAAAATGTTCTTGGCAAAGTTCTAAAACACAAAGAAAGTGATTCAGTTTTACTCATCTTTGTGATATAGATATATATATGCTCAGTTATGGTTTACACAGTTCTCTATGTTGTACAATGCTTTGGATAACACTTGTTGGCAGAGAATTGTGAGACCTAAATTACAAAACAAATAAAGCTACCCAACTTTGCAGTACTGCAAAGTATAGCTGGAAGGTAGTTTTGAGATTGCAAATAATTAATAATAATCTGATGGAGCCCTGAAGTTGTGCAGCCGCTTCTCTGCCCTCTACTGCTTACATGGTGAGAAATAATAATTTCCCAGCCTTCCAAGATTTCTGATCACTTGCATCTCTATCCAACCCATCATGTAACCAGTATCATTTTACACACGAGACTTGTGCCTTCACAGGATTCTTCATTCACGTTACTCCCTGAAGCAGCATCATGCACACAGTGGAAACAGTGTTCACTCTAACTCAATGTTGCAGAATATCTTTTACACACCAAAACCTCTCCAATGACACAGCTAAACATAGATATGATGTCACAGATTATATTCTTTTACTTACAAAGTCACTAAAGGAACATGGGTTTTCAAGGCTTGGAAAATTACTCAGTCGTTGATAAATAGCCTGCCTTTAACTTCTTGCTGTCAGTTTATATTTTGAGTGAAATGACAATTGCAAAGTTCAAACCACAGCACGCCCAACTATTTTACCCACTGGGACAATATTTTTCTTCCTATGGTCAAACGACTTCTCTGAATGCCCTATTTTTTAAAAAAATTAGTTATAAACCATGAAAGAGAACTGTGTTATTTCTAAGGTATATCTGTCATATGAACAGACACAAAAATAGTTTCTGCAGTGAGCTCTTCAGAAATTCAAAACACAGTTGGCATCTAAGGATAATGTCTAAAGATGACTGGACCCACCCCACCCTTTCTCTTCCCAAAGCTTCATATAATGACTGGCATGCAGCATGGGCGCATCTGGACTTAAACTCCAACTTGCAAAATTTATACTTTTCAGGTGGATGATGAGAGCAACGGCAGGTTGTCTTTGTAAATAGAACAATTTAAAAGAGAGCGACATGTATCCAAACTAGTAAACAAGCATTTCAAACCCTTTCAAACCCTAGGATATACACCTCAGCCATTGAATTGAGCCATTTGAATTGTAGTATAGTAGTGAAGTGTGGGATTAGTGCAAAATTTATACTTTTCAGGTGGATGATGAGAGCAACGGCAGGTTGTCTTTGTAAATAGAACAATTTAAAATTGAGCGACATGTATCCAAACTAGTAAACAATCATTTCAAACCCTATCAAACCCTTGGATATACACCTCAGCCATTTGAATTGAGAGCTGATGTAGTATAGTAGTGAAGTGTGGGATTAGGATATGGAAAACCCAGGCTTGAATCCCCATACTGCCATGGAAGCTTGCTGGGTGATTTCACACTCCTAAGTCTAGTCTACCCTTCCTGGGTTGTTGGGAGGATAAAATGGAGGAGAAAAGAACAGTATACAATCCTTTGGTTCCTCATTGGGGAGAAAAACAGAGTATAAATGAAGAAAATAAATAAATACCTATCAATTACTTGCACCAAACTTGCCGCATTGATTCAGAAGGTTTGCACAACTTTTGTATCTGACCATCTGTTACCCCAGCACCCTATCCAAAGAAGACATGAGTATAGCAAAAAGATTTCATCCTGGCCAGAACAAGGAATTTTTATCAACATTGGACAAAACAGAATCAACCTTTGGTTTCTCACTGGGGAGAAAAACAGAGTATAAATGAAGAAAATAAATAAATACCTATCAATTACTTGCACCAAACTTGCCGCATTGATTCAGAAGGTTTGCACAACTTTTGTATCTGACCATCTGTTACCCCAGCACCCTAGAATCCTGTGTCCAAAGAAGACATGAGTAGAGCAGAAAAATTTCATCCTGGCCAGAACAAGGAATGTTTATCAACATTGGACAAAACAGAATCAAATAAAATGCTCTCCAACAGCGCAACTAGGAAGCCTCTTTGCCTACAAACTTGTCTTCTGACTCCATGAGATCACCCTGACTCCAGACTAAAAGGATGGATGGTGTTTGTGAGGTATTAATGGATATTCCTGCACAATTAGGAAATATCTGAAAGAATATGTAACTACAATCAAGCAGCTTTCCCAAGGTAACTTACAAAGATAGGTTCATTGCCTGTCACAATCAGCATAACTCCTGGGAGCAAGGAAAAAAAGAGAGGATATGGAGGCTGCCAGGAGAGAAGAAGAGGAGGAGTTGGGTTTATACCCCACTCTTTACTACCCAAAGGAGTCTCGGAGCGGCTTACAAACGCTTTCCCTTCCTCTCCCCACAACAGACACCCTGTGAGCAGTGTTCCCTCTAAGCTGAATTAGTGTGAGGTAGCTCACAGTTTAACTCCTGGCTCACACATTGTTGTCTTAGCTCAGGAAGGGTGACTCCAGAGCAAACTAATTTATGCAGTAGCCAAATCACTTGCTCACAACTTTAATGTCAGTAGCTCACAAAGTAGAATTTTTGCTCACAAGACTCCACAGCTTAGAGGGAACATTGCCTGTGAGGTAGGTGGGGCTGAGAGGGTTCTGAGAGAACTGTGATTGACCCAAGGTCACCCAGTTGGCTTCATTTGGAAGAGTGGAGAATCAAACCCAGTTCTCCAGATTAGAGTCACTCTTAACCACTACACCGAAGAGGAAACTGTGAAGGGAAGGGGCTATAGGGGAACTGCAGATGATGTCATACTTAATATGGTCTTGTCAATCGATACAGAAATATTAGGAAGAAATTAGGACTCAAATATATAATTACATAAGATTTCAAATTTATCTTCGAGTTTTAGGACTATACGTAATCCTGACCATCTGGATTGTTCACCCACAGGATATATACAATGGCACCAGCATTCAAAAGACACTGGAAACAAATGCAGTACCCATTTAGATTAATGGGCCATAAAACAGAGTAGGTCAAACATGATAAAGCAATGGGGTACTAATAAAGCTATATATAGTAAAATCAAGGAACCTACAAACAAAAGTATAAGACCTACAATGAAAGATTTAATGTATATCCTATTTTTCTTCCCAAACAAACTCAAAAGGCAGTTAACAACAGAGGATGTCCACAAAAGTATAGGCAGAAAATTCCTGTTCCTATATCAGATCAGAGCGTCCACATCGCTCAAAGCCCCTTGGCAAAACTAATAAAACGAACAGCCCCCCTAATACTTAACCCTGAAGATATTTGTGGGCCGCAAGTAAAAACACAAGCCCACTGATGAGACAGGCATATAACCGAACTTTTTTTTTTATAGTATGTTTAAAATGCTTAAAGCTAGGTACCATAACTAAATTGCACTATTGAAAAGAAGCACATAAACCTGAATATCAGCCATTTAAAAAAAGGCCCATACTGAACTGATTGGGATCAACCCTCAAGATACACTTTATGTTAAATGGCACATGTACACAACAGATGTCCTCTATTTCTGATAATTTTAATAATAAAAGTATTCAGAAGCAGAGCTTCTCAAAGCATTTGTAATGCAAAATGCTTCTTCTCTAATCATTATGCAAACATTAAAAACATATACACATTTTATTTATCTATATCTATATCTCCACATAAAAGGTCTCTCTAGTGCGCTGTGAACTTAATGCACTTTAGAAAAGGTCTAGTGCGCTGTGAACTTAATGCACTTTACATGCTATGTTCATCATACTTTAAAATGGCTTTAAAACTGCCTAAAAACAAGTCAGGATAACTTGTTGTGGTAGCTTAGGTGTTCATCATACTTTAAAATGGCTTTAAACCGACTAAGAACAAGTCAGGATAACTTGTTGTGGTAGCTCCCTCCCCCCATCAGGATATTTCATTAAAAATTGAGCATCTCATTCAAGAGAGCTCACTCAAGCTATCTCCAGAAGCAGCTAGAATTAATGGCAGAGGAATGAAAGTCAATGCAAAGGAAACACTGACAGACAACAAAAAGGATGTTCCTACAGGTAGCTCTTCTTCTTTAAGCTTTTCTGGACTAGGGCAAATATACCACCAGCTCCCCACCAATAAATTGAGGATGCTGGGAATGCAGACGCTCATGTACCTTTCCTCCCTGGAATAAAACTGTCCCCCTCCAACTTAATTATACTGAAGCGATTTTTTTCTCCCTTGTTACAGTGGAAGCTAATCAGGTTTTCACCTAACCTGGATTCAGAAACCACACCAGTTTCTCTTACTGCTTAAAAGAGGATTCCCCTGGGTGACTCACTAGCTATGGATAATGTCTGTTAATGCTATTAGTATCAGTAACCCTTACAACAACGCCTTAAGATCAATTAACTATGGTTTATATATCCGTTGACGGACTGCTCAACAGTGAAATGATTGAGAAGGGAGTGGAGAATTTGCTCTACTGATGATTGCAAGAGTTCTTCACTAGAATTGCTGGGTTAGGATCTGGGAGAGCCAGATTCAAACTCCTGCTCTGCCATGGAAACTTGTGGGTAGCCTTGGTCAACCACAGCCTAATCTACCTTACAGGAGCATTGGAAGGACAAATGTAGGAGACAAGAACAGTGTAAACCCTGTAAACTGGGGAGGAAGGGAGGGTATAAATGAAGAACATAAATAAAGGTGAAGACTAGGAGATGGCAAATAAAAGCAAGGTCAGTTGGTGAGTGGGGAGAAGGAAGGAGGGAAAGGGGAGAGGATATGGGGGGCAGGAGGAGAGAAAGAAAATAGTGTAGTGGGAAAGGGATACAGTAAATAGAATAAATGTTAAGCAGGAAGCTAGAATTTAATCTGCACTGGCTTCCTCTGAGTTCCAGTTCTCTCCACAGAAACATTTACAACAGAGAACTGAGAAATCTGTTCCAAGAACTGAATATAATACACCTAACCAAAGCGTCAGGAGTGAAAAATTAAATGGACAATGTTTCCTTGTAACTTGCAGAAGTCTGTCCTATCCAAAGACACTCA